CCTGGTGCACTGGGAAGACCCAGAGGGATGGGGTGGAGAGGGAGGTGGGAGGGGGGACCGGGATGGGGAATACATGTAAATCCATGGCTAATTCATTTCAATGTATGACAAAAACCACTGCAATGTTGTAAAGTAATTAGCCTCCAACTAATAAAAATAAATGAAAAAAAAAGTCACATGGCTCTGCTCTTGGTTCAAAGAAGTAAAGTGACTTTAATTTAAAATTAAAATTTGAACACAGCAATGATGAGAAAGTTACAATTACTCTCTTTGAGGGGGCACAGTGAGAGGAGAAGGATACTAAGTTTAAGGTACTAGATTTAATATGTGTGGGAAAAGAAGGGGTACCAATAAGCACTGTTCAGCAAACTAATGATCCTATTACATAATTGTCATCTGCCCCCAGTCACTTGCACACACATGCACACACACACACAGCACACACAGAACCTTTGAAGTGTAGAATATGTCTTCTCTCTTCACAGTGCCATCTTCAATCTTGCTTCTAATGGCTTGGCCAACCTGCTCTTCATTTTGGTACAAATGAGCACAGTCAATATGGCGAAATCCAACCTCTATAGCAAATTTGGTGACCTCCAGAGCTTCACTCTTAGGAACCTATGTAAGCAAGAAAAGCAGTTGCTGAATATTCACATGATTAAGAGATTGCTAAGGCACAAGCTTGATCATACTAAGAACCAACATTTCTTTATGCCTTTGTTTAGCTCTTTATATGTGGTGATGGGCCCATGACAGTTTCCCTGAACGTTCCTGGTCAGCGATTAAATGGGCACCCAGGAACCCTTCAACCCTAGGTGATCAGTAGTTGATCACAGGTATCAGAGGACTCCAAGCCCACCACCAGTTTCAGTGATTTGCTGGAAGAACCCAAAGGACTCATAATAAAATTGTAGTCATGGATAGGATTTGTACTGTGAGATGTCTGAAGCAAAATCAACAAAGGTACAAGATGTATGATAAAAACATCAAGACTGGACTGTACCCCATGAGACTCCTCTGTCTATGGGGCTCCCAGGCAAGAATACTGGAGTTGGCTGCCAGCTCCCTCTCCAGGGGGTCTTCCCAGCCCAAGGATCGAACTCAGGTCTCCAACTTTTCAGGCAGATTCTTTACCATCTGAGCCACCAGGGAAGCCCTGATTCATTAGCCCATATTAAATCACACTGCTCTGGTCTAGGTTCAAAGAAGTAAAGTGACTTTATTTATATTTTTTCATTTATTTTTATTCGTTGGAGACTAATTACTTAACAATATTGTAGTGGTTTTTGCCATACATTGACATGAATCAGCCATGGATTTACATGTGTTCCCCATCCCGATTCCACCCCCCACCCCAACCTCCCTCTCTATCCCATCCCTCTGGGTCTTCCGAGTGCACCAGCCCTGAGCACCCATCTCATGTATCCAACCTAGGCTGGTGATCTGTTTCACCCTTGATGGTATACTTGTTTCAGTGCTGTTCTCTCTGAACATCCCACCCTTGCCTTCTCCCACAGAGTCTAAAAGTCTGTTCTGTACATCTGTGTCTCTTTTTCTGTTTTGCATATAGGGTTATCGTTACCTGTTCTATTTCCAGTTTTTTAAGGAATCTCCACACTGTTCTCCATAGTGGCTGTACTAGTTTGCATTCCCACCAGCAGTGTAAAAGGGTTCCCTTTTCTCCACACCCTCTCCAGCATTTATTGCTTGTAGACTTTCGGTTAGCAGCCATTCTGACTGGCGTGTAATGGTACCTCATTAAGGTTTTGATTTGCATTTCTCTGATAATGAGTGGTGCTGAGCATCTTTTCATGTGTTTGTTAGCCATCTGTATGTCTTCTTTGGAGAAATGCCTGTTTAGATCTATGACCCATTTTTTGATTGGGTAGTTTTTTTTTCTGGAATTGAGCTACAGGAGTTGCTTGTATATTTTTGAGATTAATCCTTTGTCTGTTGCTTCGTTTGCTATTATTTTCTCCCATTCTGAAGGCTGACAGATTAAAATCCCTGTAGTTAACATTGACTACACTGGAAGGGGCCTATAGATATTGGTAAGTGTAAACTGGAACAAGGAGCTATCTGAAACTGAACTGAACCCACACTGCCCACAACAGCTCTGGAGAAATTCCTAGATATATTTTTACTATTTTTTTTAACTAAAAAAAATTTTTTTTCTTTTCTTTCTTTTTCTTTTTAAAATTTTTTCTCTTTTATTTTCTTTTAAAATTCCCTATTACTCCTCTATTACTCCTTAAATTTCATTTTCATATATTTTTACTATTTTTTAATTAAAATTTTTCCCTTTTTCTTCTTTTTTTTCTTTTATTTTCTTTTAAAGTCCTCTATTACTCCTCTATTACTCCTTAATTTTCATTTTCATTTCACTATAACCTTGCAAAAAAAAGACCCTATTTTTAAAGCGAACTTCTATTTTTAAAGTGAACTTCATATATATTTCTTAAAGCAACTTTAATTTAAAATTAAAATTTGAACAGACCAATGATGAGAAAGTTACAATTATTCTCTTTGTGTGGGGGGGGGCATGATGAGAGGAGACATGTACTAGATTTAAGATACAAGTATGCGGGGAAAAACGAGTTACCAATAAGCACCATTCACCAAATTACTGATGCTATTACCTAAAGGTACCAATAAACATCTACAGCAAATAGATGAGGAAACAATTGAAACAGTGACAGACTTTATTTTCTTGGGCTCCAAGATCACTGCAGTTGGTGACTGTGGCCATGAACACATAAAAGACCCTTGCTCCTTGGAAGAAAAGCTAGGAACAAGCTAGACAGCATATTAAAAATAGAGATGTTACTTTGCCAACAGAGAACTGTCTAGTCAAAGGTATGGTTTTTCCAGTATCATGTATGGATGTGAGAATTGGACCATAGAGAAAGCTGAGCACCAAAGAACTGATGCTTTTGAACTGTGCTGTTGCAGAAGATTCTCGAAGGTCCCTTGGACTGCAAGGAGATCAAACCAGTCAATCCTAAAGGAAATCAGTCCTGATTATTCATTGGAAAGACTGATGCTGAAGTTCCAATTTTTGGCCACCTGATGTGAAGAACTGACTCGTTGGAAAAGACCCTGATGCTGGGAAAGATTGAAGGCAGGAGGAGAAGGGGATGACAGAGGATGAGATGATTGGATGGCATCACTGACTTGATAGACATGAGTTAGAGCAGGCTCTGACAGATGGGTGATGGACAGGGACGACTGGCGTGCTGCAGTCCATGGAGTCACAAAGAGTTTGGACATGACTGAGCAACTGAACTGAACTGAAATGCATCAAGAAACCAGGTGAAAGCTTCTAAGACCTGTGTCTACGCAGAAAACACCAAAGGAAAACTGTATCTATTCAATCTGTACAAAGTGATATTCTCATGTAACTATCTATTGTTAATGATTAACACAATCAAGCTAGTTAACAGATCCTTCATCTCATATAGATAACTTTGGGGAGTGTTTGTGAGAATACTTAATATCTATTCTTTTATAAAATTTCAAAATATAACCCATTATATTTAAGTATAGTCACCATGCTGTACATCAGGTCTCCAGACATTCATCGCATTACAGAAAGTCTGGACCTTTGACCAACATCTTTCCACTTTTCCTAACCTTGTCCCCAGCTTCTGGTCACCATTCCTCTACACTTTGTTTCTATCAGTTCAATTTTTTTCTTTTTTTTTGCTGGCATTGATGAATTTTATTTATTTATTTTTCCATTTATTTTTATTAGTTGGAGGCTAATTACTTTACATCATTACAGTAGTTTTTGTCATCTATCAGTTCAATTTTTTAGATTCTGTCTTTGAAGACAAAATGCCATATTTGTCTTTTTATTTCTGGCTTATTTCACTTTGCTTGCTATTCTCCAGGTTCACCTGTGTGGTTGCAAATGGTGGAAATAACTTCCCTTTTCAAGCTGAATAATATTTCAACATGTTTCTGCAATCCAGGATTTTTCATGTTTCAAGGAGGTAGATGCTTGGTCTAAGTTCCCCCTGTTGGGTCTAGTCCTGGTTTTCATGATGATCGCGTGCCTTGTGGGATGTACTGCGGAATGAACCAGGGATCTCAGTACTAGCCTGGACCTTTCCCTCCACTCATCACATTTTGCTCAGTGAACAATCACTGTCCTTTGTCTGCAAAATGTCTCTGAATATTTTCTTCTATTCTATAAATTAGAAAAGTGAGATTCAAAGTTTAAAGACCAGTCCCTTGTCACAACTACATACTCTAAAGACAACATGGACAGCAAAGTTTCTGGCTTCCAGTCTAGAGACTTGCCCACTAGTCCCTCTTATGCCCAAGGACTGAGAACTATACTCTAATAAAAAGACACTACAAAACCCAAGGATAGAGTACAAAGCCTGTCCTGTAAGATTGTAGCTTATCCCCTCAAATGTATAATGTAGCTTATCCCCTCAAACTTTTTCCCATCAGAAAAAGCTTCCAAGCAGAAACAGAATCACAAGGCAAAGCATAGCTGCCGTGGGTCGCCTGGACCGCGCAGGTATCCTGCAGTAGAAAAGCAAGTCGCTCCCATTAGATTTCAGTCACCTCATCTTCAGGACCTTTCACCTCAAATACTGCTCTGGGTCAAATACTACTTTGGAAGGAGGGAAGAGTTCTGGAATGAAATATACAGAGAAACCCCACCATTGCAATCGTCCTTAAAGCCAAACAGCTGACAGTCAGTGTTCTCGACAGCCGAGTCTCACCTCTTCTGACAAACTGGGAAAGACACGGAAACTGTAGAGAAACCCAGAGTAATCTTCAGGTGAGCACAGCCTCAGACCCTGATGCAGAGTGGAGACTGGATGCTCTCTCCCCTTTCACAGGGCATGGTTCTAGCCTGGTTAGTGGAACCACGAGATCCTCCCAGAGTCACACAGGAGCTCAGTGCTTGACAGACCAAGTTCTCTTCCACTCATGTTATATCCACTTACTATTTATATCTCAACCCCAAATCACTACTCTTACCTCTGGAGATGCCAAAGTGCCAAACCCCAGAACAGGCATGAAGCGGCCATCATTAAGTTTCACTTTCTTCTGGTTTTGGGGATCCATTGCCATTTCTCTAAGCAGGTTCTGATTTTTGCCTTCTGCTTTCACAATTGATAAACACCAGTATGATCACGCCCCAGCTGCACTCTCCAATGTTAGCAGATACACTGTAGGAGGAGCAAGGTGAAACCAATACCCAGGGCATAAGAAGAGGATTGAAGCCAATTAACTTGTTTGCTTCTTTTTCAATGCAATTTTAAATTATATAATGATGAGATTGAAAAATTATTGATCATATGTTAGACTAGAAACTTCCACACAATTTTTTTCATTTTTACAATATTAAGCTTAATATATATCAAACATCAACTGAAAAAATTTAACTCTTTTACCATACATGCACACACATTCACAGAACCACACAATTTAACTGAGTGTTTAATAAACATTTTATAAAATCGTATTTCTTAATAAAGAAAACCAAAGGACAATAAATTTGCCTTTTTACTTTTCCCACCAGCATAATTATGTTCTATCCAGACCCAACAGTGGTGAGATCCTGACAAGAATATCAAAACCACAAATTATGACAACATGTTTATTGGAGATTGATTATTAATAGTTTTTGGATATCATGTGCATTGTGCAAAAAGACCCTTACAGGGGTTAACCCTTTGACTTAGTTACATAGCCTTTAGAAAGATATCATAATGGAAATGATAATGAGTTCATATACTTTACTATCTTGCTCAATAGTTAGTCATAAATGAAGAACCTGTACACAAGTTAAATTGTAAAAAATACAGATAGAGTTAGGGAGATCAAGATGCATTGATACAATGGGATGTTGTGAAGTCAAATAAAATTTAACACGTGGAGTGATGTCAGCAAAATGGTGAGCTAGGAAGTGTTGAATTCTCCCTTGGAAATGTAACAATCAGAAACCAGATGAAAAACCTCACAGGAGCTCTGAAATAGGTCAAACAGTAGAAGTCTACAGGAACACGTTGAACACACAATCAGGAAAATCCCAGAACTGAGAGGAAGGACATTTTATTGTGTTTTTTCTCACACTTAACTCTCCCCTGACTTGAACAGTGAAGTCTTGAACTATAATGGGTGTCAGCTCTGTTCCCAGCTGCCTCCAGCAAACCAGACTGATCAGAAAAACCTTAATGCAGTGTTCTAACCTGTTTGGGGGCTGCCCGAAGACTGGTGTCTGTTTCACCTAAACCTAGGCTTAAACTGAAGAACAGCTGGAATAGCTCATTACTGTTGCAGGGGAGACTATATACATGGCGCCAGGGACAAGGAAGTAAGGGTGGAAACATAGACTAGAGCATATAAAGCCCTGAGTAAAACTAGGGTGTGGATTTTGGGGACAGAGGGCATTTTAAAACAGCCATACATTCAGGGGAATCAAAGAGGCACACCTCCTCCAGGCAAGATGCTGACTCACTCAGAAATGAACTGAGTGCCCTTAGCTTGATTACTGGGCTAATCGCAGGACTAAAGCATGCCAAGTTAACTAGTGAAGGCCAGTCAGGACATGGCACAAATCTGCAAAGACTGGTATTTTGCACTTGTTTCAGGTGCCCAGTTGTGAACACATTCACTCCCCAGACACATAAACCTCAATATGCAGCAAAGACTCACACATACAAGACACAAATATGGAACTCTTAAAAGAAAAACTAGAAGAGACACTTCATGACACTAGATTTGGATATGTCACCAAAGCACAGGCAACTGAAGAAAAAACAGGTAAATCAGTATTCATCAAAACTCAAAATGTTTTTGCATCAAAGGAAACTTAATACAAAGGTTGTGAAAAGTCAACCCACAGAAAGGGAAAAAAACTGCAAATCACATTTATGATAAAGCTTAATGGAGTGGGACTTCCTGGAAACACCCTAAGACTTTATCTCAAATCACTTGGCTCAACTGCCAAGTTCTCTTGGTGACCTTTACTCTTTAATGCTTTCAGTTCAGTTCAGTTCAGTCAATCAGTCATGTCCAATTCTTTGTGACCCCATGGACTGCAGCACACCAGTCTTCCCAGTCTATCATCAACTCCCGGAGTTTACTTAAACTCATGTCCATCGAGTCGACGATGTCATTCAACCATCTCGTCCTCTGTCATTCCCTTCTCCTCCCACCTTCAATCTTTCCCAGCACCAGGGTGTTTTCAAATGAGTCAATTCTTCGCATTGGGTGGCCAAAGTATTGGAGTTTTAGCTTCAACATCAGTCAGTCCAATGAATATTCAGGACTGATTTCCTTTAGGATGGATTGGTCGGATCTCCTTGCTGTCTATTTCCATAATTAACCTTCTGACTATCCCTGTCTATTGAAGAAAAATGTAAAGTTTTTATACTTCTTCACTCTTTCTGAGTTTGTGTTGACTACCGCCATTTCTCTTCCCTACTGAATTCAAAGCATTTTCTAAGAGCATTTAGATTTACACCTTAAACTAGTCCTATTGTTTCCCAACCAGCAGACATGGACATGATAGAAACTGTCACAGTCTTTGTGAAAAGCTGACACACAGGAAAGGAAAACACATTGTTCCACAAATATCACACCAAACACTCTCGTATATTCTCTCCACATCCTCCAGTACCAACTTCTGTTTCTCTTTGACATCAGTTTTCTACACAGTGCATCCCAAACCATAGTAACTGTAAGGACAGGATGATGGTAAGCTCCAGGTGACAGTGGCCCAGGTGCTTTGGTCACATCCCCTGGTTCCTGTTTCTGTTTCCTCCCCTCCACACCTCAGAACCACCACCTGTTCTTCTTCATCTTGTTATTCTTACACTTACTGGATCTCAGAGTTTAACTTGAAAGCCAGTCACAATCAGAGGATAAGTATGATCAGATCACAACAGGAATAAAGTGCTACACCGTGAAGCATCTTTATTATAGAAGGAGCTGATAATAATATAAAAGAAGTCTCAGATTCTCAAGGAAGTGTTCAAGGAGCTCTTCTTCAGTTCAGTTCAGTTCAGTCGCTCAGTTGTGTCTGACTCTTTGCGACCCCATTGACTGCAGCCTGCCAGGCTTCCCTGTCCATTACCAACTCCTGGAGCTTACTCAAACTCATGTCCATAGAGTCGGTGATGCCATCCAACCATCTTATTCTCTGTCGTCCCCTTCTCCTCATGCCTTCACAGAATAAATGTGATCAGATCACAACAGGAATAAAGTGTTACATCAATAAACATCTTTATTATAGAAGGGATTGATAATAGTGTATAAGAAATGCTAGATTCACAAGCAAGCATTCACATATCTCTTCTTAGGTGATGTGCATTTCAACTAGAAAATTCTGCTCAATACAGTGTTCAAGATTTCCACCCATAAATTCAGATGAATAAGAGGAAAATACAGTTATTAGTTCTTTTTGGAATTGATCTTTCTTGGAAAATTGTAGCTGAAGAACATACTCTAGTCTAGATACAGAGCAAAGACTTGGGAGTACACCCATCTTCAGGGACTAGCTTCACAGAGACACCCATTGTCCCAAGTCCTTTGTGCATTCAGGTCCAGCTGCCTGCATGGTGGTCAGCCCAGCTACAGAGGGAAAAGAGAGGATTACTGCTTTGAGGTCTCAATGTCTAATTATTGATGCAAAACAGAAACAAGAAAAAAGTCTTAATACAATCGCTTAACAATGTGTGGCTAGAAAACAACTTTAGACCATGCTGGGAGAAAAGATCCCGCATCAGGTCACAGAAAGTCTCTCTCAAACAGTATCTGGAAGCTTTCATGTGTGAATTTTGGAACTCACAGTAGAAACATATCAAGGACTACTGCTCAAATATACAGAAATTCAAGGTTATTCATCTTATTATTTGGTCACAAACTTTTTAAGTTGCTTTCAGTCAAGTCTGTGTTCCTCATCTCTAAAGCATCTTTAGTTTCCCTTTTGGGGAAGAACCCTGACCTGATGGATACACAACACATTTAAGGTACACAAAACATCTAGTGGATCCAAGGGGGACACCTCTTTACTCACCACCCAGGTAACACTGGATTCGCTGTCAGATGTACACAGACATGGTTTTGGCAAATTGATGCAAAACTGCTCTTGCAATTCTTGTTCAGTTCCAGGGTCAAAGACACAAAGCCTGCCCCTATTAAGTAAAGCTCACTCATCCATTCCCTATAGCCCAGAACTATGCAACATTTTCTTTTCTTATGCATTACTTTTTTTTAAGTTGGAGGAAAATTGCTTCACCACGTTGTTTATGTTTCTGCCATACAACAACGCGATTCAGTAATAATTATATTTTCTTAATTGATAAGGTTTAAACTTATATCAACCCGTGCTTCATTTCTATGTTTACTTAGAGATTAGAACAGTCAGAATGCAGTATGACTGGAGGAAAGGTTAGAACACAAGAATGATTAGACAATAGTGCATTGCCTTGGGGATGTTAGATTCTTTATGAAGAAAGAAGCAGGTAATGACTCACAAACTACACTTGTTAGGTGTTATTAGATGTCTCCAAAGAAAAAACCATAAATGACTCAAACTCTAAAGGTCTTCCCAATGGGAGGAAGGGATATTTAGGGGTTTGGTATGGACATATACACACTGCAATGCTTAAAAGGAATAACTGACAAGGACATACTGTATAGCACAGGGAACTCTGCTCTATATTATGTGGCAGCCTGCCTTAGAGAAGTTTTTTGGAGAAATGGATATAAGAATATATATGGCTGAGTCCCTTTGCTGTCTGCTTGACAATTATCATTGTCAATTGGCTATACTCTAATATAAAATAAAAAGTTTAAAAATAAAATAAATCAATAAAAGGATCTTCCTAAATATCTGTCTACAGCATAGAGCATTCAACTTACTTCTGAAAGTTTTATAAAAATGTAAATTCCTGGGCCCACCAGGGAATATAGGAGAAAACAAAGAGGAAGTTGGTCTGGCTATCTGTCAGTAAAAGTCCAGTTTGTGGATTTGGCTGCAGGGTGGACTTGAACTGAAGAAGAGAGAAATGGGAGGGAACCATGTTCTTCATGACCGGGGACCCCTCCAGCAAGGAACTGATTCTCTTGTCCTTTCATTACACTCTAGTTGACTCTGCTCTTAAAATATATCCCTATTCTAATAACTTCTGACCACCTTTACTGC